TTAACCTTTCTGCCACAAATCTCCACACTGACGCCCTGCAGGACTGAGAGACTCTTCTCCCGGGTCTCTGCCTGATCCCCTGTGTGACTGAGCTCTGACTCCCAGCAGCAGGAGGGAAGAGAAGCTGCAGCCATGGGTGTTGAAGACTCCCTCTGCTCATGGGGGGCGACTCTGCTAATCCTGCCTGGTGAGACTGAGCGCCTGCACAGTGTGGACCAGCCCCTCGCTGGAGACACAGCCACAGGCAGCTGGGCAGCAACAGCGCCCTCTAGAGTCTGCTCCGACACTGCAAGAGAACAAGTATAAAACTAAATAGACTTTAAGTATTTAAAAGGATGATGTGACTTTCTGGGGGAAACTACTGTCCAAAAACATCAGTCAGTATCTTGATGCCCCGGTCACTTCACTGTAAAGATGCATTTTTACAGTCAAGATGCAGTGACTCTCATTGAGCATGCCATGAGAAATGCACTTCATTTTATATATGAACACACTTTTGCTTTTCCTGTTTTTATGTTTAAACTTGATATGACAAACTAAACCTATTCTACACAGATACAGGACATATGTACTTCCACCCAACAGTGATCTATTCTTTCTAGTTAAGCTGTGGTAGAGTCACTTCTGCTACTACACATTTCGTCAACACAGATTGGCTGTAATGCTATTGAAGAGTAGCTGAATGCTGTTTAGAGACAATGCAGAAAAAATTAGAAAGCAAACTGTATTGCTGGAACAAGTCTGAGTGATATTATTTAACATTTAATTAAACTGTGCTATGCTTTGCGTTAGGCTACTATATTTGTTTCGATTTTTAGTAATATTTTTGGTGGTGTGACCCTAACCCTATTTTTTCAATAAGCCCTGTTATTTTTATCGCATTCTATAGTGCGAGGTCTCACAAGAATGCAACTATCATGTTACAGCAGTAAGGACTGTATTTCTGTTATTACTGTACAAAATTCAGACTCGTCACACCTTCACTGCACATTCTTCAACAGTGTAACACTCACATCTGTGTGGAGCTCTGAGCTTTCCTGGGTTTGGATAATAAACATTTCCCAACAGCACTCAGACTACGGAGATAGAAGCACAAGACAATTTTGCGACATTTTTTCAAACTAGGACTGATTTGAGTCCAACAATAGATCAGTCATTATTGTTGTTCTAAGAAATTCATCATTAATGGGGACATAACTAAAGGCAAACAAACCTGTTTCTTTCACTGGTACTTTACTACTATATTTTAATGGGTTAATGCTGATGGGTGAACTGGTGTCTCTGCAGGTGTCCTCTGTGGCCAGTGGGCTGTGTGGTATCCAGAGAGACCTGTCTGTGCTGTGAGAGGCTCCTCTGTGGTCTTTAACTGTTCCTATGACTATCCCAACACCTATACACAGTATTCTACACAGTATAGAGAATATAAACTCCAAGTGACAACAGTGATGTGGTGTTATAATGATGAAGACTGTATTCCAGGGCCTAATACAGTCACATACATTTACCACAGTGGACACAGTCCTGTCAGGCTTAACTACAGAGTAGAGTATCTGGGGGACAAACAGAAGACCTGCACTGTGAAGATAAAGGATATAAGAACATCTGACCAAGGGACATATAGATTCAGATTTGAAACCAATGATCCTAAAGGTAAATGGGCTGGTGATCCTGGAGTGAGTCTCTCAGTAACGGGTAAGAGTCTGAGTTCACCTGGTCCATCAGTCTGGTGTCTGAAACTGAAAAGATTCAGGAAGAATCAGCCTATCAGTCCAGTTCTTGCAAGTGTCACAGTTAAAACATTTATATAAAATGATACTATCCTTTTCACATTAAATATATACAGTACAACACACTCAGTGCTAAATTTATTTTATTTTAGCTACCTAAGTGTAATATAAACATTAATAAAATTACTTATTACTCTTTATTGATTACCAAGGTCTAATTTACTTAAAATATAAACTTCAACATATCACTTGAACACCTTTTTCATTGTCCTGCAGAATTCAAGGTGTGGAGGAGCCCATCAGGGGAGACTGCAGCAGTGAGAGAAGGAGACAGTGTGACCCTGACCTGTGACACAGTGAGCTGCTCTCCAGCACAGACACAGCTCACCTGGTTTAAGAATGACCAGCCCCTCCCACACACACAGACAGCAGCAAACACACTTCACTTCAATCCTGTTTCCTCTGGACACTCTGGACTTTACTCCTGTGCTCCTAGAGACACTACAGGCAGCAGATCTCCACCGTTCCCTCTGGATGTTCAGTGTGAGTACTGTGTGTCCCTCTGCTCTCTACAGGAATGGGTCACAGCTGGGATACAGGGCTGAGCAGTGAAGCGTCTCAGAATGGGGGATCTGGGGGGAGTATCTTTAGGGGTTTCCTCTTACCCGTCAAGTGCGGATTGTCACTGTCTGAAATATTTAACACATTTATGTGCAGTTTTCAAATATATGTAACAATTTTATTAAAATAAAGATAAATCTGATGTCCTTCTGTCTAAAAATACCCTCAGTGTCAGATACACAGAAAGGAAACAGCAGTCCTGTTCAAAGTTTTCAGAGGGAAATGAACAGAAGTTTCTCTCTCAGCAATATTAGAAACGTCACACAGCCTGTAACCAATCTCCTCGTGGGCAGTAGTTTTCATACTCTGCAGTGTTTTCATCTGAACTTGTTTCCTGTCACCTCTGATCTCACCTGCTCTCACAGTTGCAAACACAACTCCAGCCCAAAGTATCCAGCTACTTCCTACAGCGGGACACTTCCTCCTGGACCAGTCTGGGGCTCATTAAATAAACTACCTGAAGAAGTGATCATTAATTTGCTTGTCATTGTCAAATGTCCTGTCTTCCAGATGCCCCCAAGAGCACATCAGTGTCCATCAGCCCCTCTGGTGAAATAGCAGAAGGCAGTTCTGTCACCCTGACCTGCAGCAGCTCTGCAAACCCTCCAGTGAAGAACTACAGCTGGTTTAAAGGAAACAGGAACTTTGTTTTGCAGGAAAAAACAAAACTGCACTCTTTTCTAAAAATATCCCCAAATGACAGCGGACAGTATTTCTGTGTAACAAACAACAGCCTTGGAGAAAAGCAAAGTGCACCAATACAGCTTGATGTCAAATGTAAATATCATTTCCCTCTGTCTGTCTCTGTGTTAGTTCAGTGTTAATGGATCATCAGCCTCTTCTCTGTGTTTATGATAATATTAGCCTCTATTATCATGACTGATTGTTCTAGGGTGCTGAGCTCACACCCCCTCCTCATCTCTACTTCAAGGTGTAGCTACAGGTGGCAGCCTGTGTTTCCACTGCAGCTTCCTCAGGAACAGCTGACCTGGGAAGCACTTGTAGTTCTTCAAAGGTCATTGGTCACTTTAAAGGTCAACAGTCCTCATGAACATGAATACAGCTGTGCAGAATGTCATAGGCATGGAACACATATTTCTTCAAATACTTTCCTCTAGGTTGTGTTCAGTCTGTTTGTTATACCAAACTGAAATGTTTTAGAAGAAAATTCTTCTACATGAATGGAAATTTGTCTTACTGCACAAAAATGCATCTGTCCATTTTTACAGTGTTTGACTCAAAGCATTAAATGAATGATCACAGACTGTATCCTCTTCCAGAAACATCAAGGAGCACTTCAGTGTCAGTGAAATAATTCTGTTAGTGAGGTATCTCCATCTCCATTGCCTCTGACCAACACAGCTTTGATTTCCTATTAACTGCTGAACCTTTGTTCTACCTATAAACCTGAAAATCATTCTCTTTCAGATGCCCCCAGGAGCACCTCAGTGTCCATCAGCCCCTCTGGTGAAATAGCAGAAGGCAGTTCTGTCACCCTGACCTGCAGCAGCTCTGCAAACCCTCC